AAAATTCCAATTTTGCTATAATCAATATCATTCTTCATCACACATAAAATAAATAATACCCTTAATTAATAATCAACAATCAACAACCCAAACCTATAATCGTTCCTATTTTTCCATCAAACTCATCAACTCATATCTCATGAACTTAGAGTCTAAAATCATTAATACAATGCTATAATCAATTAGAGAATGAAGATATTTCCTTTTTGACGTTCAATCCTCTTGAATTCGAGTTTTAGGGTTTTTTTCTCAACAGTGATGTCCCAATCGAATATCTAATAATTTGGAGGGTTTAACCATGTTAACAAGGTATTGGAGAGTTGAAATCAACTTAGAAATCATCATTAGAACTTACCTTGGATGATGGAGGGACCTTGAAGAAAGTTGGGTTCTTGAGAGCTTCCATGTCTAGAGTATTTTTACGTGTTTGGGTGTAAGGAACAAGATAGGGTTTTTAAAATGACTTCTCGGGTGCACTTCCATGCAGCTGAAGGCTCAACCATGCACCTGAATGCGCATCAAAAGGCAGTGGCACTGCCACAAGTGCGCTACCGCGCACGAGACAGCTGGGCGCGTATACTGGGCATTGTTCAGTAAAATATGCATAACTTTTTGTACAAAAATCCGTTCGGACTCTACAGTATATCATTCAGAAGGTATTTCAAAGAGATAAAACTTTCACGTTTTGAGTTTTCTCAAATTCCTAACGTAATTTTATAAAATCAGTCTGAAAGATAGACCTTCCATAAACTTTGTCGATTTTATCGAATCTTATGCACATCACTCTCCATCTTAATTCTAAAACAACTATTTCCTCCCATAATCATCCCGATAGGATTTTACATGTCTAAAATATCACATTAACACTTATTTAACACGTCCGCACCTAATTTAAATTTATGTAGCGTTACAGTTTTGCACTTAAATGGATAACTCAATCCCTTACTTTGGCCAGTTTGTTTCTTAGAGGCTTGCTCAGAAAGGCTGCTATACCATACCTTTTGACCTACCTTTTGATGGTCACTGAACTATGCCTATTGCACTCAGAAGGTCACTCAACTAGATTTTCCAAATTTTGGATTGTCAAATACCTATGTTACCCTCTAAATTATAATTTTTTTTTTTTAAAACTTTTTAATATTATAATTTTTCCCTTTTTAATTTACATTATGGACTTACCTATAGAATAAATAAATATTATTTATAAATTAAAAAAATAAAAATATTTAAGCATATATAATGCTGGAAAATGAGCATAGCAAAAAAAAATTAATTAGAATAATTTGTTAGAAATAATTATTTTAGTATTAACAACAAAAATTTAAAAATTTATTTACACAATTCAGAATAAAAAAAAAAGGTTGTAAAATATATATTCCATGCATGTAATATAAAATAATTATTTAAATAAAGGTATTTTTATAATATACATTATATATTCTTGAAAATTATGGTCAATTATATTATATATATTACATACACGGCTTAACATAACATATTTTACCCTATACAGATAGTCCCCCTGCTTTCCGGTGGCATAACTTTGTGTCGTCGGAAAGTTGGTAGAAATATAATAATATAATTGAGCATAATTTACAAGAATATATAATGTATATTATAAAAATACATTTATTCAAATAATTATTTTTATATTACGTGCATGGAATATATATTTTACAATCTTTATTTTCTTTCATTCTAAATTGTATAAATAAATTTTTGAATTTTTGTTGTTAATACTAAAAAGTTTTAAAAAAAATAAAAAGAAGATAAATATTTATAATTTAGAGGGTAAAATAGGTATTTGGCAATCCAAAATACGAAAAATCTAGTTGAGTTACCTTCTAAGTGCAATAGGCATAGTTTAGTGACTTTGTTGTTACAAACGAAAGAAAAGTGACTTTAGAAGATAATTTAAGATAGTTGAGTGACCATTTGAGTAATTGATTCTTTATTTGATAGATGACATTTATAAGGGAAGGGTTGTGTCAAAAGACAACATCTCATACTCTCAAATAATATGGATCACTTAAACATTCTATCTTGATATCTCCCTCTTTTTTATTTTTAGAACTCAAACTAAAAGGTTGTGTAAGTGCAAAAATATAAATAAATTAAATGGATAATAAAATCTTTAAATTCAGTATTTTTTCCCGATTGAATTCGAATATTGCTGAAAGAGTACAAGAATGTAAACCACGAATGTTAAAACAATGAAATGAAGTGTATTGTACATGCCTAAAGACAATTCCCAAGTCCAACTTAGTATTCAAATCGTGTTAAATCAGTCATCTTTACCATCTTTAAATATACTAAGGAAAAAAAACAAAAGAAAGGAAAAATATCCAGGCCGAAGCTGCCCAAAACAATAGTTGCACATATATAGATGCCGCCAAATGCCAAGAAAATGACGTTAATACAAAGACCGTAGCATCTAAGTGCCGATATTTTTGGAATGAGATCTTTTCAACCAAAAAGTACAATTGCACACCAGAAAAAAATCTGCCCATATCCAAAATCCTGCATCTTAAAATCCCACGTCTGCGAAGAATATCAGTATCTATTCTATATTCACACAGAAACTCACCTCTGTACTCAGTGTGTTTGAAGAAGCAGAGAAAAAATGGAGAGTCACGTTGTGAGACGAAGAATGAACATGATTTCTGCCCATTTAGCTGTCCATGACGATATTTCCACCGCCGCTACTCATCTGTTTCCTATGGTACTGTCCTTCTTCTATATATCACTCTGTTTCGTTTAGAAAAATTATTACTAGTACCAAACAATAGTTGCTTTAATTCATAAGATTGTTCGTTTCCCCTGTTTTCTTAAAATCCTTCTTCTGCCCTTTGATCATTTCAGCATTCTTAACTTTAAAATTTTCACTTGTTTTAATATCAGAGCTGTAGCAGTAGTCTAAATTCTGCGATTCCGAGGTATGATAACAGAATGAATTATGCACGACAAAGTTCCAGTTCTCAAGCTTGTTTCATGAGGCTCAACTCAAGCGAACAGGTCTGTGAATTAAAACAGAAATATTATTCCTTAGTTTCAATGGGATTGTACTCTCTGATAATCGACCTTTTCTTTCTTATTGTTTTGCGTAGGGGATGGGAAGCTGTAGTACTGAATCTGCCTTGCCTTTAAAGCCTAATAGTTGTGCAAAAAAGAGTTTTATTACTTCTGAAGGACCAATGTATTCTAGACCTACTAATAAAGAATTCCAGTATGTTGCACAAGGTTGCAAATACAATCAAACTGCAGCAGAAGCTCCCAAATTTGCTAGGCCAAGTACTGGAATTAATGAAAAGTCGCGCTCCCAATTGAAAGAAAGAAGAAATGGACTTCAATCCAATGGTAAACAAAGATAATGCTTTGCTTTGATTGGCGTTTTTTGCTGGAATTAATAATGTATTGCAGTAGTGCTTTTTTGTTCTGGAAATCGAGGGTACAGTATGACACCCTAGGCGAATCCCACATCGACAAAACACGGGAGAGATGTTGGGTATATAAGTAGACATGACTTAGACCCTAGTGACGCGTTTTAAAGCCGTGTGGCCCCAGGCCCTAAGCTGACAATATCACTAGTGGGCTGGATTGTTACATACGGCCTCTTCAGAATGTTTAAAAATTCACTTTTTGTTTTGCTAATACAGGAAGTGAATGGTCTCCTAGGATGGATATTGCAGAATCTGGATGCATGTACATCGTATCGATAGAACTTCCTGGTGTCAATATAAATGATATAAAGGTAGAAATCAGTGATAAAAGGTAAATAACTTGCAATTATCCATTAGTCTTTTGTTCCACAGTCATCCCTTAATTATAAGGGATGATCATGTTACATAGAGTTCATCTTAAAAGAGCATCTTCTGCAATGAGGCAGCGATGAATTCAGATTTCGTGTTGGTCTAATAGACGAGTGTTATGTCCTCGACAGCTTAATAGTTTCTGGAAATCGTTCAGCACAATGGTCGAAAGTGGCAACATGCTCGAATGACTCCGTATCGTCTTATCACAAAAGGGAGATTGTACAGGGACCTTATCGGGTTTTCTGGCCTCTTCCAACTAATGCCAACAAGGATAGCGTTTCAGCTGAATTTGTGTAAGTTGTCAAAACTTGTTAGTATCATTTACATGTTATTTTGAGTCAAGAAGAAAGATCTTTGGAATGTTTCATTACATAAATATTTGTATTAAAATTCTGAAATTCATGAGTGTTTTACAATGCAGGGACGGACTTTTACAGATTACTATCCCAAAACTTTGAGAAACAGGGCAACCAATCAAGCCGCATATCTACGCGTAAAATATAATTGAGAGAATTACAGGATAAGCAACAGAATTTATTGTAAAACATGAACCATGTATATGTACTCGATCACATGCTATCTACTGGAAACTAGTGTAAAATGCCATGGATTATGAGCTGCCTTGTAATGCTACATTAGTAGCCATATCAGTATATACATATGTGGTGATGCCTTTGGAATTTGGATGGTTTAGATAATACCCAAATAATCAAGTAGCTTAAGTTTTGTACACCGGAGGTGCAAAGGATTTTACACGAAAGTACAATTTAATCGATTATGGTAGGTTATCATTTTATCTTTCAAGTTATCATATCATGCTTGATATTAAGAGTTAAGTGCATGTGTTGTACAATTTAACGGAGTATAGTACACCTTCAATGCAGAGATATGAACTTGTTAGGTTGAGAAATCTAGCTATGCAAGAAGAAATTGACAGTAAAACCCTAGAATTTAGGAGAGGAGAAATCAAACCATTTTCTTATTCTCAGAACTTACGTTGTCAAAATAAAATCTCACTTATTCTAGAGAGTTTCTCTCATTTATATACAAATCAATTAATGAAATAATACATATTTAAAGTGTAAAGTGATGAAACTTTGTGTTGGGTCATGAAGTGGGCTGCCCGGTTAGGCCTGGACTATATTGCAGAATTGGGCTTCGGTTAACACCCCCCCCCAAGCTGGAGGGTTAAAACACCCCAGGCTTGCCCAAAATCGTGTGGTGAAGGGGGCCATATAAGGCCTTGGTCATGATGTCTGTCAGTTGATCAAAGCTGTGCATAAATTGGAGAGATACCAGCCCATATGATAAGCAGTCACGAACATAGTGACAGTCCACCTCTATATGCTTTATGCGCTTATGAAATATCAGGTTCTTGGCAATGTGTAAAGCAGCTTGGCTGTCACAAAATACAGGGACATGGGTTGTAATGGAAAGATCAAGGTCATTGAGGAGTCTAACTAGCCAAGATATCTCAGCTACCACCTTCCTCAAGACCCTATACTCAGCTTCTGCAGAGGAGAGAGAGATAGTAGGCTGCTTCTTGCTTTTCCAAGATATTGGGCAGCCACCAAGAGTAATGAAATAACTTGTAACTGACCTCCGAGAAAAAGTACCTGTAGCCCAATCAGAATCAGAAAAAGCAATGAGAGATAGATTAGGGGAATTAGTCAACAAAATTCCTTGAGTTGGGCAGACATTAAGTATCTCGAAACATGTAAACCAGCCATCATATGCGGGACCCTGGGAGACTGTAGGAACTGACTTAAATGCTGAACTGAATAGGGCAGGCTTGGTGTATTGCAAAAAATTTAACTTTCCAACTAGTCTCCTATAAAGGCTGGGATCTGGGAGGAGATCACCCTGGTCAATAAACAATTTGATTGAGGGATCTAGATGAGTGGCAGCAGCAGATAAATGAGAACACTTTAATTCATCTAATAAGTTTGAAGTATACTTGTTTTGATGCATCACATAACCATCAGGATGAGAAGAGACCTCAAGACCTAGAAAGTAATAGACCAGATCCAAGTCTTTGATCTTGAATTAGTCATCCAAAAACTGTTTCAAGGCTGTCATTTCAGCAATATCAGCACCATCTAATAGAATATCATCAACGACCACCAATACAACCAAAGAATCACTAGAAGACTTAGTAAATAAGGAGTAATCTTTTTTGTTAGCGATGTAGCCTTTGGAGAGCAAGGCATCAGACAGTTTAGAAAACCACTGCCTAGAAGCCTGCTTAAGGCCATATAAAGACTTCCTGAGTCTACAAACCAGAGGAGAGGTAGAAGAAGAAGAAGAAAAAGAAATCTGAAGACCATGGGGTATCCTTATATACACCTCCTCATGTAGATCACCATAAAGGAAGACATTATTGACATCAAGTTGGAAAATAGTCCAATGTCGCTTAACAGCAAGAAAAAGAAGACATTTGACAGTAGTATGCTTGACAACAGGAGAGAAGGTCTCAGTGTAATCAATATCTTCCCTTTGAGTGTCACCCCTAATAACAAGTCTCGTCTTATACCTCTCAATAGAACCATCAAATTTCTGCTTGATCTTGTATACCCACTTGCATGGGATAACTTTCTTATGAGGAGGCAAGGGGACAATTCCCAAGTATGGTTGGCCTCAAGAGCCTCAAATTCCTTTAGCATGGCCTCTTGCCAAGTAGAATGAGAAGCAGTATGCTGGTAAAATTGAGGCTCAAGCATGTGCAAATCAGAAGTAGAAACTTTGGGATTTAGAGAAACAGACGAAGAAGGAAGAACATAAGAGCAAACATAATCATTAAAATAGATTGAGGGGTTGACTGTCCTTCCAAATCTCCTCAGAACAGGAGGAGGAGGAACATGGATAGAAGAAGAATGAGGGGAAGAGAAGACACCAAGAGATGAAGAAACAGGTGCAGGGGAAAGAGAAACAGGTGCAGGAGAAAGAGAAACAGGTGCAGGAGAAGGAACAAATGAAGTAGGAGTAGGAGCATCAGTGAAATCAAATGTAGGGGAAGGAAATGTGGAGGAAGGTGGGAGATGATAAGGAAACATATGTTCAGGGAAGAAGACATCTCTAGAGAAAAGGGTAGAATGAGAATATAGATTGAGAAGTTTATACCCTTTTTGCCACAGGGGTACCCCAGAAAAACACAAGGAATAGCTCTAGGTTGAAGTTTATCTCTACCTTGCTTATGGCTGGTAGCATAGCATAGGCAACCAAAAGACTTCAAGTGATCATAGGAAGGGGGATAGCCATGTAATTTTTTAAAAGGGGAAATGTTTTGAAGTACAATAGAGGGCAGACTATTAATTAGATAAGTGACTGTGAGGACACAGTCCCCCCAATACTTTAGGGGAAGTTTAGATTGATATAAGAGGGCCCTAGAGACTTCCAAAAGATGTTTGTGTTTTCTTTCAACAACTCCATTTTGTTGAGGAGTGTGAGGATTGGTAGTTTAATTGAAAATATCATTTTCAGAAAAGAACTGTTGTGCTTCAGCACTGCTGCCCAGTTCATAAGCATTAGCAGACCTAAGACTTTGCACAGTAGATTTAAAATGAAACTTAACCATTGAAATAAAAGCCTTGAGCACAGAAAGTGCATTGTTTTTGCATGATAAAAGATGAGTCCAAGTGACTCTGGTGAAATCATCAACTAAGGTCAAACAATACCTGAAACCATTATTGGTCTGGGTATTATAAAGACCCTATATGTCAATATGAACAAGTTGAAAAGGAGTAGATGAATGAATTGAACTGTCAGGAAAAAGCAACCTTGGTTGTCTTGCCATTGGACAGACTTCATAGAAGAAAGTTTGTTTGGATGATACCTTGCCATATGACCCAATCTTTGATGCCAAAACAAATAAGTTTTATTAATATCAGGAGAATTACAAGTGTTACAATGAGTAGTAGAATCAGGTAGAACACTAAACGATGGACTAGAAGCATTACATTGAACAGAACTAGAAATGGAAATAAGAATTGAACCAACAGACAAAGTAGAAGAATTCATGTTGGATGTAAGAAATATAATCCATTTGCAGCTTTACCAATTTCCAGTGGCCTCCTCAGAGAAAGGCCCTATAAAATACAGGCAGAAATGGTAAGAGTTGTAATACATTTGAACTGAACAAAAAGTTTATAAATAGATATTAGATTGAAATGGAAAGAAGGAACTAACAGAACATTATGTAAAATCATATATGTCCTGAGTTGTAGAGAACCGGTAAATATGACTTTTACTTTGTATCCATTAGGTAGAGTTATTAGAAAAGGTGTGATGAGTGGTGTTAAGTTGTTTAGAAGATGTTTGTGAGGTGTTATGTGGTTGGTTGCACCTGAATCTAGAATCCAAGGGTTTGAGCCTAGATGTGACACTACACATGCATGAAATGCAACAAAATGGACTTGAGGATGGTTAAACACATATGCAAAATGAGCAAACCCAATGTTCTCTGAATTTGTTGATTCAGGGTGCATAGCAAGAGGATGCAGCTATTGGAAGAGAGTCATGAGATGCTCATATTGTTCTTTGTTGAACCTATGACCATTGTTTTCAGAGGACTGCCCATTGGTATGACCATTGGTATAAGATGTGTGTTGGATGTGACCTTCAGACTGAACACAAGCAACAGATCTTTTGGATTTAGTGAACTTGAAATCAGGTGGAAACCCATGGAGCTTATAACATTTCTCAATTATGTGGCTAGTCGTTTTGCAATATCTGCAGGACAATTAAGAGGAGGAACCAGATCCTCTCTTTTTTTCAAACTGAAACCTTTGAGTAAAACTCCTAGCAGGGGGTTGCACAGGGTTGTTATGAATAGCATTGCTATAAGCATTGAAAGAGGCAGACTCATTTGAAAACTGGGAATAAGAGCCGAAGTTTCCTTCTGCTTTTCATCATATTGGAGCATGGAATAGGCTTTGCTCAATGATGGAAGTGTTGGCATTATGAGAATGTTACTCTTACAGGTAGAATATGACTCATTTAAGCCACTGAGGAATTGGTATATTTTCTGTTGTTCTATAAATTTTGGTAAAGCCCCATATGTACACACTAGTCCTACATAAGTAGTGTTTAGTTCATCCCAGAGTCCCCTGAGTTTTATAAAATAGGTGGCAATGTCTAAAGACCCTTGGGAACCATCACTAATTTCCCTTTGTAACTGAATATACTTTGAACCATTTGATGTCCCAAACCTTTCATTTATATCAACCCAAATATCCTTGATAGTGTCAAAACATATTACACTATTTTCTATGTCTTTAGATAGGGAATTTGTTATCCATGCAATATCCATGTCGTTGTATCTTTCCTAAAATGAATAATAAGGTGAATCAAATTCAGGTTTGGGAACTCTACCAGTTATAAGCCCTAATTTGTTCTTAGCAGAGAGGGCAATGAGCATATTTTTACGCCAAATGACAAAACCACTCCCATCGAAAGGGGGAGAAACTAAATGAGTACCAGAACTGTCAGATGGATGAACATAAAATGGATGAGATGGAGGAATAGTAAAATCATCAAAACCATCTAACATAGGATAGGAACTATGATGGGTTTTCAATATCTTTGCCTTATGTTTTGATGATCTAACAAACTTACTGTCAAGAACCAGATGGGGAACCTGACATAATTGGTGTCGCGCCCCCCTTTTTCCTCCACGGAGAAAGCCCGAGTTCCGACATTCATGGGGGTAATAACTCATTTCCTTTTGAAAATTGGGTATTTGAAGAGTCGCCACCTAACGGGTTATGGTGTGTTAGGGCACCTAGAGCGATTAACTCTTGGATTAGTTTGCATTACCAGAGATTAAGGTAAGGGCTTGAAATGACCTCGAGGGGAAGGTGTTAGGCACCCCTCTCGATCCATAATTGTGGGTCCCGACCGAACTTATATTTATGAATTAGTCCATCAACAAATAAATAGTTAAATCAAATTGTTTGCAAGTAAAGCACGTTGTATAACTCAAATAATAAGGCGAAGATTTTGAACAAGTTGTATACATATAAGACAAAGTTTTAAACAAAAGGAATTTTGGGAAAGGAGGAGTCCTAGGTTGGTTAGCCTATAGGATTACCCCACACAATGTCCGGTAAACACTCCTCAATGAGAGGTTACATGTGACATTAGCGTGTAGTCATCATATCCCATATCTACCCTTCCCACTCCTTTAGTGGTCATTAAAGCGCATGTTGGTCAGCAATCTCTATTGCGTACTGTTACCCATCCCTTCTTAATGATCATGAAGGAAATTTAGGACCCCTACCTATATGCAGCTCTAAACGTCTCCTAAGGTTTAAAGGAGAAAATACTAAGGCGACAGGCAAGAACAATTAGGACCTTAGCACATAAGAGAGAAAAGGAGCAATTAGAGGCTCAAGTTTACCTCCACAAACAATGCACATAGGCAGCACGACTCAAACACAGATAAGGGCCTTTTGTTAAACAATATCGTAAGGCATGATGTTTAAGTGAATATCAAGACAGAGAAGATAGACAGTTTATTTTGCCTACTAATTTTAAGCCTATTAAATCAGGACAACATTAAGGAACAGAAACAGTTTAAGAGTTACAGGATTTGAAAATGCCCTATAGGCTTGCCTACATGCGAAATAATGATAACTACGTTTTATATAGTAAAACAGGGCAGATTTTAAAACAGACTCTTGAATTCCTATAGGCATGCTTTCTAACAGTAAATTAAAGCAGTATTGGAGAGAATTCATTTTAGGAAGAACAAACCGTTAATTAGACTAGTTTCAAAGTGAACTAATCGTGAACTGGATTGATTTGTTTAAACTAAACTAGTTTTAGATCTATAGGCAGAATTTCTGGTATTGTTCCCTATAGGCATGCCATCTAATTGTTAAAAGCTGATGTTGGAAACTTGTAGGTAAGATAACAAATAAGAACACATGTAAACACTCGTTATAACAGAAGTTGAACTAGACCATATCCTA